TGTACCACTTAAGCAATCCACCATAAGGCAGAGAGGTCACTGACTATTTACATAGATGTGGATCACCAAACAGTGTAAGCTCGTCCAGCGCAAGTATTTTTTTCATATAGATTACTTTAGTGCCTACTGTGTCCGATCCAGCTGACTGCATATACGAAACTGGCCTCACCGCCTGTCTGCTTGAACTGCAAACAGCTGGACCGGACATTGCACTGCCGTAAGTTTCCACTGCGCACCTCCCGACATTCAATATTTAGTATCCTGTTATCATCCTCACTGGCCACGACTTTTCCTGGAGACCATTGACGTCGCGTCTTTAAAACAGGCGCTTTACGCACTCGGCTTCGCACTTGAGAAATGCACTGCTGATTGGCCTGTTTCTCAATCAACGTTGAGTTTTTTTGCTACATGTAGTCATGTCATGTAATATCGAACCCAAGACTGCATGTCGGCATCATCGATTAAGCAATGTCAATTAAGGGCTATCTCCTTAACCGTTGGACAGTTTCGCATCAAAGGGAGCGAATTTTCTCGAATCTAAACTCGCTTAAACTTGCTAAAGCCAAGCTAAGATGCGAATTTAAATGTACTGGGTGACCTAACGCATGAAGCATGCATTTAACTATCAAAATCTGCTTTTGAGCAGAGAAGATTGCGTCAGTAGGGTTGAAATACCCAAAAACAGGAGGACTTTGCCGACAAAAAATCAAAGGGGAACGGGTATGGCCATTCCGAGCTTATTAGCCGTTGTCAGCCAACCATGCACAATCTCATGTATTGCACGACTTGAGGCTCAAACCTGCGACCGTTGCCGGCTTCACCTCGATCCATATTCACATTGGTGCAAAAGCGCACACCGATCGGTAGCGAGACTTCTCCTCCCGTTCTGCTTTGCGGCCCACTTTCGAGTACAGCCAGCAGCCGTACAATGGTTAATAGTATAGGAAGTAGAACATAACCGATCGATAAGCACCTTTCTATATATGCTCAAATCTACTGATCCAGAATCGGCAAGATAACAAGCCTGCGGCTCTATGGTAAGAACGCTAGACATGTAATCAATCAGCCGCAAGTTCGAGCCGCAGGTGGCGCAAGACCTAGGGTGTGCTATGGTTGGCCAGGAATGGCTATTCCAGTTTTCCTTGTCTTTGACGTAAGTAAATTTCACCCTAGAACATGCTAACCGTTTTGCGGCTGGAGAGCGAACGCCAAGACGCAACGGGCAGAGCTAGTTTCGTAACTCATTGGAAAGCGTCCATTTACCATAAAAAGGAATATCGGTGAAGGCAGTTTAAGTAGTGCACCTCATATAACCCTAGTCCCAGCATGTTGTCCTACGTTAACGGTACTTAAAGGCATAGTATGGGTGGGGAAATAGGGTGGGTAGGGAGGAAAATTTTCAAAGGTTAGTGTAAAATGGACAAATGTAGTTGGATTTGTTTCCCATGGCCGCTGAAAGTAAGTTGTTCCGCGTGTACATTGAAGGTGTGCGCGGAATTTCGGGGTGCGGACCAAACTCATCTAACTGTAGACCGGAAAGTTGAAGTAGACGACCCCTAACCACCATTTCTGTTGTTTCAGGGATTTCAAGAAACCTACATTTTGATAATCGGGTTTTTCCGCAATACGTTAAACGAAAATACAGATTAGGACAACCAACAGATATAAATCAGTGACATTTCTAAATACAATGAAACATAAAATGCATATAGTGGTTATTAAAGTTTATTCTACTGCCTATCGTAATTTCCCACCCATAGAACCCCTTTAGCCACCGTTTCCATAGAACAAAATGTTGGGAATAGGCGTACATATGATACAATAATTAAACTACTGTTGCCGGAATATCTAACCCAATCTAACCCTAATGATTAACGAGTCTCGACAGGATCTTGCCTGAGTGATTGCATCTTCTTATTTTTCTTCTTCTTCTTCTTCTTCTTCTTCTTCTTCTTCTTCATCTTCGTCGTCTTCTTCTTTTTCTTCTTCTTCCTCTTCTTCTTCTTCTTCTTCTTCTTCTT